TTATTTTTGAGAGAGGGAGAGAGAGACAGAGTATGGACAGGAGAGAGGCAGAGAGAGAGGGAGACACAGAATCCGAAGCAGGCTCCAGGCTCCGAGCTGTCAGCACAGAGCCCGACATGGGGCTCGAACCCACAAGCCGAGAGATCATGACCTGAGCCGAAGTCGGACGCTTAACTGACGGAGCCACCCAGGTGCCCTGATGTGATCTCATTTTAAAGGATAGGGAAGAGACTGAAAAGCTATAGAATATTTCATAGTTTTATCATAAAAAAGGACGGACACCAAGGCCATAGTTGGAATTTGAACAAGACAGTCAGGGTCTGGGTACAGGTGGAGCCGCTGGCCCTGGGGACCCAAATCACAACAAAATGGCTTTAATGAGGAAAAAAAAAACATCCGCGAGGGAGCTAAATAATCAATAGCAGCCCGTCAAGTTCTGGAAGTGGGAGTGCTCCTTTGTCGTGCAGGGAAGGTCTGGGGCGGAGCTCGGGAGCACCCAGAGCTGAAGGAGAGCTTCGGGGTCCTCCGTGAAGTGCCTACCCTATAACGGGTGCTCACCGATTTCCGGGGAGCACGCAGATCTCTGCGCGTCCTCTAACTCGGGTCACGGTCGAGACCAATTCTCAATAATGTTGACACCCTCACTACTGTGTTTGGAAGGGAATCTTGCAGAGGGAGGCTCAGCGTGTTGGTCCCCAGTTTACCCGAACACGAGGAGGGAAGGAAGAAATGGCTGGGTAAATGGGTGACGTCAGTCACTCGGGAGCCAGAGCAGTCGTAGGAAGGAAAGAAGGAGGTGGGGGGCTTCGAGAGCTGCACCAATGTGCAAACGAGAAAGGAGGGAGCCGGAAGTCTCGGAATCGTCACCACGACTCCACGTGAACTGGAAATGAGTGCCCGGGCTGCCAGGGAGCTTGCTCGGATGTCTTCAGGCTCTGGTGGTGCGGGACCCCGGTGCGGGGTGGAGGTGCCTTCGCAGCAGACACACCGACACAGGGGTGTTTCCTGTCGCATGTGGAGAGGACTGACACACTCCGAGGAAACGAGCGAAACACGGGCCAGCGGCCGGCGAGCAAAGGCAAGACGAGATGTACCATCGGGGGGAGGAATGGTTAAGTGGCCACCCTGCCTTCTGCTCTCCCTGGATCTCCTCCTCATCGCCCATCCCGCACCTCGTGCCCCGGGCAAGGTCCTCAAATATCAGCTGAATTAAATCTGTGGCCCGTCATTACTGTTTGACTTCCATCCCTCCCAGGCAAGGGGATAAAAGTAGTAACAAGCAAATAAGATGACATTTGACAACACTCCCCAGTGTTCATGTTAATTACATAACAAGCCAGAAATTCGGTGGAAGATACCGTTACTCACCGCCGTGAGGGGCCATCAGCATACTCAGGAGAAGCACGATCATAGCGCGAGGGCAAAGGAGGGGCTGAGGCATCCAGGGAACAGCCTCCTGGGAGAGAAGTCGGTGGAAGATGATGAGTACGCTCTCGGAAATCCCAGGAAGTAAGAACGCCCACGAGCTCTTTGTCGCATAGCGCATTGAGCATTGAGGTAGCAGGAGAAAGCCCTAGGAGGGTTTCTGTCCCAGCTTCGCCACTAACCAGCATCAACTAATGACATTCAGGAGATCACCTTCTCTCCCTGAGATTCAGTTCATCCATCTGTAAAATGGAATCTGAACCCGGGCTCCTTGAGGCCACAGATCTGGTGTCATTTATTCATTTCCCCCATGGTCCCTTATTGTGCTGCGGCAGACACATCGCAAAGATCCCAGAATGCAAAGTGAGCGAAAACCTCTCCTTATCTGTGAGTTGTTCACAGAATAATAGGGAAAGGAGGCAGCTGAACAAGGGCTATAGTTTGACTTTTGTAGACGGAGCTGTAAATAACCCATATATTGGGCTACCGGGGCATTCTGAGTATATACCTTCAGTAGTCTGACTTTGAACCTTACCAACGCTTGACATAGGAATAAATTTGGCAACCACAAGGTGGCGCTGCCTGCCAACAAACAGTGCTTTCCTGAGGGACTAATTCTTCCTTCCCCGTGGCTTCTGAGCTATTTGAACGCCTGGTTGCTGTCCTAGCCTTCAAGAGACCATGCTTCAGGGACTGCCATGGGGGTCGTGGCAAGGGGGCAGAGTCCAAGAACTGACCGCATTTCAATCATAGCGCCCCGTGATCTGAGCAAGTCAACAAATACTTACCTTCAGTAGGCACTTAGTGCAAACAGGCCAGCCATGTATTTAATGGGGAAGGAAAAACATTAAAGACCAGAGGGATTTTAGAATAATTTTAACTCCCTGGGAACATAACTCCTTCAAGAATGTCAGATGGATGGTTGACTTGTGCGTAGAACAGAGTATGAATGATAGCACAGTGTGATCGTGCTACCCCAGGGGCACCCACATGGCTGCTGGATGAGGTTGTACATGTTGTGCACTGGGCAAAGGTGTCGCACTGAGGGGCACATAGGGGCTGAAATGCATCCAGTGTTCAACTCCCAAGTTTGCCCTCTGCCGGGCTGCATCACCCTGGAGGAAAGAGCACTTCCTACAGTTTGTCCTCCCAGAGACAAAGGCTGTCCCATGTCCTGGTGGCCCTGCAAATGGACCCAGGGCCACAGTGGGCCACTCTGCCTCGTGGGCAGGGATTTGTACTGTGGAAGGTGTCCCAAAGGAGAAAACATTGGTAGGTCCTGAGATCGTTACTCTGTGGACCTTCCCCAGGGCCTAGCATAGCCTCTAGTAGCTATAGAATAAATGTTTGTGGAACGACTGCGGAGGGCAGAATGTGAGTTCTTGGAGATTCCCACTGAGCTCAAGCATCTTCTAAGACTCTGGTTATTATCTGATGGACAGAATGCTCTGCTTTAACCTTTTGTAGCCACATAAATTCCTACAGCAGGTTAACGTTACAGGTTAGACCAGCTCTCTGATCGTTCTGCGGAGATTTGGGTCTGAGTGGCTCCTTGTCAAGGCCAAGAAACCAGACTGAAACTTCAGGGTGAGGCCTGGGATGTCTCCGGATGGAAAGTGGCCACCCTGGAAACTCTGTGGGTGAACAGCTGAAGGCATTCTAGAAGGTCATACCCACTGAAGTCATACCCACAAGACTGAGGCTGATGTCATCACCTGGTACATTTGGTATCATTGCCACCACAAGGAGGGCATGCTAGGAGGTCTTGCGGTGGGGTCCCCTCCCTCAAGAAAGGGAAGAAAAGCCTCAAGGCAACCTGGCTATACGCGTACGTGACAACATCCTTCATGACCTTGTAACATGAGACTATTTACTCAGACTGCATGTTTGCGTGTTACCATATATGGGGGACAAAGAAGCAGAAAACACATTAAAAAAAACGACTCCAGGTGGCGTTCTGGGCTCAGTTCTTCGGGTACAAACCCAACTGAACCGTTTCCTGGGGGAAAAAAAAAGCCTCGGTGTCACGACCCTCTGTGCGAGAATCCTGCGACAGTCGGAGCTTGGAGAAGGCACTGGATTCATCTCGTTCAAACTCTCTTTACAGATGAGATCATTGAGCCCCTGAGACCGGCAACTTATGGTCACAATGTCCCACTTCCCATGAGCTGGGAAGTGCTCATGATAATAACAGTGCCACTTATGAGGCTATTGTGAGGGCTGAATGAGCTGATCCACGCAGGGCAGTAACAACAGTGCCTGACGGAGAGAAGTGGCTGGAAAACATTAGTAATTACAGCCACTGTGTCTGGCACACAGGAAAGACTCAGTAAACAGCAGCTGTTACGATAAAGGCCCCTCTGCCCTGTTTGAGTGGAAGCCCCGCCCCCCGTCTGGTGAAATGAAGCAGGTGGTCAGTTTCGCGTAGCACCTGCTGTCCTTTTTCTCCTAGGACACTCACTTCCGGGAGGCGATTCCCCTGGGTTGTCCTGCCGCTCAGAGGAGACAGGCTGAGGGTGATGATGCTCATTGGAATTACAGAGACCTCTACTGGATTTTCAAGCATGTAACTACTGGAAGGGAAAGGAGCAAAAGTGACCTTATTACAGACAAAATCTTGACTCAGCTCTAATGTGTCTTTTTTAAAGTCGGGGGGGCGGAAAGGGAGTCGTTGTTTAACGGGCACGGAGTTTCAGTTGGGGAAGATGAGGAAGTTCTGGAGAGGGATGGTGGTGAGGGTCGCACAGTAGCGTGAATGTACGTAATGCTACTGAACTCCACACTTAAAAATAGTTACAATGGTAAATTTTAGGTTGTGTGTATTTTGCCGCAATTAGAAGCAAAGTAAGTTATAAACTTTAGGACCTTAATCCCTTTATTTATTTATGTATTGTTTTAAGAAGGCTCCACGCCTAATGGGGGACTTGAACTCATGACCTTGAGATCCAGAGTCACATGCTCGGACTGAGCCAGCCAGGCGCCCTGTGGACCTTATTCCTTTAAACGCTACCTTCCATTACTGGGTCATTCTTTGTGTCATGGGCCCCACCACGCGTGCGCCTTAGACTGGCATATAGAGATTTGACTAGCACACGCCTCACTTCCTTTCTTTTTTTTCTTTTAAATGTTTTTACTTATTTTTGAGAGAGAGAGAGCGTGAGTAGGGGAGGGGCAGAGAGAGAGAGAGAGAGAGAGAGAGAGAGAGGGACAGAGGATACAGAGCAGGTTCTGTGCCGATAGCAGATGGGTTCTGTGCCGATGGGGCTCGAACTCACGAAGCACTAGATCATGACTTGAGCCAACCTCAGAACCTCAACCGACGGAGCCAGACAGGCGCCCCGCGCCTCACTTGCCGTGCAGGGACCTGAGGCTCAGAGACGTCTGGTGAGGCCACAGTCCCCTTTGCCAGGAGGCACCGCTGCAGGGGGTGCCACCACCAGACACAATATTCGGTTTGAGGCCAGCCAGCCCGAGGTCTCTGCTCCACGTATGTTACCCGCCCGACAGTGCCATCCTGATCGCGGAACCCCCAACAAACAAGCGGGCTCGCGATCCTTCGCGGTAGGACTGTCGTGACTTTTGGGAGCACCCGCTTGGGAGGCCCCTTGGAGTGGCCAGCCACTGGCTGGGGTGCAGTGTGACACTGTAGTTGGCAATCCCGAGCCGAGAGCCAAGCAAGGGGAACCTGGGTGCCAGCCGGAGGGGACGGCACGCGCTCAGCCCTGAGCCATGGGGAGCGAGACCCGAATGCGGGGCGTGCACCTCGGGGTCTGCAGGTGGGCGAGCACAGGGCCACTGCGGAAGTCATCAGCCTTCTGTGGGTCGAGCCAGGTGCCTCGGGTGTGGGGCTGTGTCCACCTTCAGGAAGAGCTGCCTCTTCCTCATTTACCCAAGGAGGCCTCCGGGGCCGACGGTAAACACTCACTGTCCTTGGGGAAGTGAGGGCTCCCCTCGCCTTGCCTCGGGCCCTGGTGCCCAATGACTGACCCCAAGGCACTGTGGGAAGTGTCTAAGAGCAAGACCTGTCTAGCTGGCCAGGCCTGGGGTGGGCTCGGCCTTTTATATGTTGAGTGTCCTGAGCCAGGCACTGATGCTGCTTGGAACTCGTTTCCCTGGGCACTAAAATGCCCATAAGGGGGTTCTTCATCCGGGTATCTTGAGGGTTAGACGGGGCACCGTGCCTGGTGTAGGCCAAGTGCTCAGTAAGTCTGGCCCCTTTCCACACCAGGTGCCCTGGGGAGAGACATGGGCGCACACAGGTTTCCACGCCCCTCGCTGATGGCATGCAGTGTCCCCAGGGACATGCAGCAGGTGCTGTCCCTCTGACGTTGCATCTTTTCGCACGCACAAGGGCTCAGGGTGACCGATTCCCAGCGATGTCCTGGCGTAGCATCCAGGTCTCAGGCACCCCTTGAGAGCACCCCCCACCCTCCCTCTCTTCTGCCATCTATTTCTCCCCCCCTCCAACCTGTCATCCTTCTCTCTCCCTCCCTCCTCCTTCCCTCCCTCCCGCCCTCTTCGGCTCCCTACCCCTCAGGGGAAAGGGGGTGCGTACCTTGAAGGTCCCACTTAGAAGCAGCTGGATGAACGATGCTCGACTTTGAACAAGATGGAGACTGAGTCCTTTATACCCCAAGGGAAGACCCTTAGTCACGTGATCCCTCCTCCCCCCACTCCTCACGGGGAGAGGACAGCTTTTCGCGCAGGTTGGCAGGTGGGAGGCCTCTGAGGGGGAGGGGGACATCATAACGCTATGCCTTGGAGCAGGTGAGGCTCCATATTAAGGGGCCCGTCTTGAGCCCCAGAGGAGAACCAGGCTGTAATCAGAGAACAATAGCTGCCCTGTTCCACACCCCTACCTCACCTCCAAGGCCTGGGGGCCCAGGGATTGTGTCTCGGGGTCATCAGGGGGACTCTGGGGGATGAAAGGCTGATGAAAGTCACATGGGCTCTCCTGACAAAGAAGGGCTGGCTTTGTCTGGTCTAGTGAATTCCCCAGCAAGAGGATCTCTGGGGGATTCTTCTTATATGTTCCTGGCCTCGAGGCCCGGGAATTTGATGCCTCTTTCTTTAAGGGGTTTCCTGCCCCAGCTGTGGGGTGGGGTGAGATGGGGCTTGATAGTGAGACACGCTAGGATCGGGTACCAGCCCTGCCTCCTCCCTAGCAGCGGGACAGTGACCTGTCGCTGCTCGGATGCGGCTCCCGCCTGCATTTCGTGGGGAGAACCCCGCCTTGGAAAACAAGCGCTTATCGAGCGCTGTTATGGGCCGTACGTGTTTTCATGGGATTTTTGCCCCTGCCGTTTTCACAACAGCACCACGGCAGCGGACCCCGGCGAATCCTACGCTCAGGATGGTCACGACAGCAGGGACTCCACTTCCCAGACTGGACGGCCCATGTCGAGGCGGGGGCATCTATCTGAGCTCATGGTGATGGGATCATTCTGGGTGGGCAGGCTAGCCCGCTGAGAGCCCTCCGAGGTGTTCCCCTGACCCTCCCTGCTGGGCTCATCCGACGATTCGATCTGGGGTCGCTGAGCCTTGGTGGAACCCACCGGAGGGCTTCTGCAGATAATTAGTTGCTCGTGTGCCTTAAAGATTTGTTTATAGATCATTAGTTGTTGTTCAGTGTCTCATGAGCACTGACGATGAACGGAGCTGCCCCAACCCTTTCCCACCAGCACAGAAGACGCCTCATCTCTAAACTCTTAAGTCAACAGGCAGCATGGCTCAGTGCCGAAATTTCTCCCTTCCCTCCCCCTCCTCCTCCCTTCCCCCTTCCCTGTCTTCTGCCTGTTTAGCTTGTATTCATGAATATGAGTTTAGCTTGGGCGTGAATGAGACAGACAGAAATGCACCTGTGCCTTTGCCCCTGGGAAGAATCCTGTTTAGTGATGTTATACGTGTAACGGATGTTACACCTGTAACTCCTTCATCAGAGGGCAGACAGTCACGGCCCCGTCTTTTTTACCTCATCGGTGAACCCCTGGTGGCCACACAGGCACAAATTATTAAGAACTCTAGTGTGGCAGCATCCCCAAGGCCTCCTCGTTGCCCTAAGCATCCCCCAAATCAGGACTTACTCAGCTCGGGGGAGGGTCAAACCTCCCCTTAACCTCTAGGAGACCGTGGACTCTGGACTCAGCTCTGTTCAGTTGCTCTTGGGCCCTGTTTTCCTTCTGTCATTGCTGCTGTTGTGGCAGATGGGGTGACTCTAGAGAATTGGTCCTGTGTGGTCCTCTGAGCCTTTGTCTTTACTTCAAGTTCAGATCCCTGCACGGGCCTTAGAGGTCCTCCACATGTGGGCTTTTCTAAGTTAGTCATGCTCGTGGGGCATCTGGGGGGCTCAGTCCGTTAAGTGGCCGACTCTTGATTTTGGCTCAGATCGTGATCTCACGGTTCATGAGTTCAAGCCCTGCTGTTAGTGCGGAGCCTGCTTGGGATTCTCTCTCTCTCTCTCTCTCTCTCTCTCTGCCTCACCCCTGCTTGCGTGCTCTCTCTCCTTCTCAAAATAAATAAATAAACTTTAAATGTTTTTTTAATGTTTTATTTATTTTTGAGACAGAGAGAGACAGAGTGTGAGCAGGGGAGGGGCAGAGAGAGCGCTAGACACAGAATCCGAAGCAGGCTCCAGGCTCCGAGCTGTCAGCACAGAGACCGACGTGGGGCTCAAACTCACGAACCGTGAGCTCATGACCTGAGCCGAAGTCGGACGCTCAACCGACTGAGCCACCCAGGCCCCCCTAAACAAACTTTAAATGATAGTCATGCTCAGTCATAATCCCCAAGATGTGGGATGGCTGGGCACCCTCCGGTTTCCCCCACAGACAAATAGCCAGGGTGTTGGGACCAAGTCTCTAGTCCCACCTTCCCTGATGATAAATTACTCTTTGGGGGAAACTCTGGGAGCCTTTCTTGCCACAGATCCTTGATTAATAATATCAACTTTATCCATTCGAGAAGGTCTGGTCAGGTCAACACCCACCTGATGAATCGTGCTCATTTTTTGGTTCCAGGTATGGTCCCTTTGCCCTAGGAGATTTCCTGTGTCCTCCTCAGCTTTGCAAACGAGAGGGCCCTTTGCAGGCCCCCAGAGTCGTGATGGCAGGTGTAGTTCATGAGCTTGGCATTTGCATAACTTTGAGGGCCTCCCAAGTGTTCCAGAGGTTAAAACTAAATCTTTTCTGCGCATGATGAGAGGAGGGAAGTCTCTTCCTGAAGTTCAAGTTCTACCTTTCTGAGAGCCTTGTTGTCCACAGGTAGTCGGGGCAAGGGCACTCAAGTGTCTACCGATGGGGGGAAATCGTTTCTACTTGGACTGTGAATAGAGTGACTTTTCTCACCAAAGGGCAGGCATGGGTCAGAGAGGGTGGGACACCAATGCCCGGGCCGCATGTTAACATGAAAGACTGGAGCTCCAGGCACAGCAGTGAGGGAGCACGGGGTCCAACACGGGCCATTGGAAAGAGCAAGTCTGCTCAGTAATGCTCTGCATGGGGACTTGGCATTCACAGGGGTGTTTGCAGCTACTGCGGCCTGGGGAGAAATTAAAAGGGACTCGAACCGATACAGGGACACCTTAGCCCGTGGGTGCCTGGGAAAGGGTTGACTCAGCAGGGCTACGGCATTGAACCCTGCATCTTCCAAAGAAAAGTCCAGCCCTGAACAGCTCCTGGGGGTTAACCTCCGAACCCTCGGCTGACAAGAGTGTCCTTAGACCTGGAGCTTTGGGTCATGCCAGATGCTCCAAGCTAACAATACAACTTATAGCAGGGGCCTTGGGTCACGGCGTGTCGGCTTGACCTGTGGAGAGCCTGAAGACAGAGTAACTTCATGCCTCTAGGCTGATCCCCAATTAAAGCCCTGGACTCCATGGCTCGGGTGAGCTTTTCTGGTTGATGATACTCCATACGTGTTGTCACATGGCATTGCTGGAAGGATTAAGTGCTGCCCATGCAACTTCGCCGGAGAGGGCAACGGGAAGCTGATGTCTGGCCTCTCCCGGGCCCTGTCCCCTGCACCTTTTACCTTTGCTGACTTTAATCTCTAGGCTTTCGCTGTAATAAGAAGGAAATGTGAGCATAAAAGCTGTTCTGGCTCCGGGAGTCTCCTATTAGTGAGTCACGGAACCCGAGACCCCCAAATACAGCGGGACCCACAGACGAGAAATCGACACAAGACATCAACAACAGAAAAGCCACACTTCCTCCGGGGGAAGGTTCTCATCACCTGCTATTTAGGGGCATGGAGAATTATCGGGATCCCATGGTCAGCAAGTCTGATTACTTGTATCTAACCAAGCGTGGGTTCGTGGTGTAGAGAAATCCTACGTGACTCTCTCCAGGGTATGGGCTCCCCTTTCCTAATTTATCGTGTTGTCTTCCTAAAATCCCAGGTGTAAGTCACTCTGGGTACTGTGTCAGAGTCTCAGTGCCTGGACTCATTTGTTCTGGCTGCTGTGATACCCCTCAACCCATTTCTCCCATCTCAGGATCGCCGTAAGCGTCATGGGGGATTCTTGACCGTGGATTTAGGTTTCAGGGCAGCTCTAACACTTGGCCTTCCCCCTTCCCAGGGTTCACAGGAGAGAAAGCATTGCTACTTCCCCAAAGAACCTCTTTCAGTTAATTGATGATCTAGCTGGAGCCTGGTGAATTCTTCGCATCCAGCCAACTTGGGCCGGGGCCGGGGCCAGGGTGAAGGGATGTCGCCCGGTTTATCGTTAGGTCCCATCATCTTTTCACACGGACAGGCAGATATTCCGGAGGCATTTTTGTTTTAAGGCTGGAAGAGAAGAAGAAGAGGGAATTCAAGGTACTGAGAAAGAAGGCAACGCTACAGAGGCATGAACTCTGGCCCCACAGCGATGGCCCAGGCTCCTGGGGGGGAGGTGGGGGGGGCAAGGGTGTGACAGGGCAGTGGGTGGGGACTCAGGAGTCTGTGTCAGAGAGGAAGGACGTGGGCCAGACGCCCTGCCGGTTGGCAGCGAAGTCGAGAAGGGGACAGCTCTCCAGTCTCCACTCTCCGCCCGGCGATGGCTTCGGGTTACCCAGCTGTATCTACCTCGTGCCCCCAGTTTGCAAAAAGCTACTCTAAACTCAGTAACGTGTTGTCCCCTAGATGGAATATGTTGTTCGTGTGGAGATTTTCATGCGGCAAGAGCGAAAGAAGAGCTATTCGACTATAAGGAGCGACCAAGATTTCCCGCTCCCCCTGCCCACCCCCGGGTGAAGGGATTTGGACTACTGAGCCCCCCACCCCCACCCCACCCCACCTCCACCCCGAATCTTGGCTCTTGTGCTGCAGAATAAAGGCAATGCAAGTCCCATGTGGCTCCACCACTTTTAGGAGGCCAGAGTCCTTTGACTTGATTGTCCAGGTAGATGACTACACTGTCACCTGGGCGGACCAGATAAGCCAGATCAGCCACTTTTGTCTGCAGGGGTGGGAGGGAAAAAAAGCTCGCGTCTGGCCTCTCCGGGAGTCAACGGGGGCTCTGCTACCATCTAAGACCAGGAGAGGGGTGTCATACACCCTGCTCGTAGCACCTCATGCTGCCTTCTTATTCTTGGATTCTTCCTACTCATTCTGCTTTGGTCAGGAATTTGAGCGTTCACAATGGGGTCTCTTTTGTCTGATCTTTCTTCGTCCATTTGTATTTGTAGCTTACATGGGAGTCAGGGAGGATGAGAAACTTGCCCGAGATCACACAGAAAGCCATAGTGCTTGGCTGGGCTGACTCCCGCTTTGTTTTTTCTTCCCCATACCTAATTGCAAACATCCAACTGTTAGGTGAGCAGGAATCAGAAATATCCTCCACTCTTTCTGTCTAGAATTAACGACGACCGCCTGAGCTGCACCTGCTCTTTTTAGTCCCTAATGAAGACGGGACAATCACTGAATTCTAGAGCTCCTTGAGAGAAGGCATTTATTGCCGAGCGCCAAGGTCAAGCGTCTACTTACTGTGTGAGTGGGGCACCCTTTTCACCCTCTGACAGATGTATGTTGCATTCTTCAGAAACCAGGAATAGTATTCAAGACAGTACCTAAAGATTCCAATCAGAGTGGAAAGCAAACGTCATCCCTTGTGGCTAACGGAAGACAAGCATAATTTACAAAGTCATGGGCGCCTGGGTGGCTCAGTAGTTGAGCGTCTGACTCTTGATTTCAGCTCAGGTCCTGATCTCCCGGTTGTGAGATTGAGCCCCACTTTGGGCTCCCCACTGAGTGTGGAGCCTGCTTGGGATTCTCTCTCTCTCTCTCTCTCTCTCTCTCTCTCTGCCCCTCTGCTCCCTTTCCACCCCCCTCAAAAAATAAATTAAAAAAAAGTCATAGCGGCCAATTATTCACAGCAAGGAGGCCCTCTCTATCTTTACAAGGTGTGGGGGAGGGGGGACAGAGGATGAGCCTGAGAGGCGGAAAAAGCTTAGACTTCGGAGTGAAGAGGCTGTATTTTTAGTCCTGTCATCTTCCCTTACTAGGACGTGTGGCTTCAGGCTGAGTATTCAATTCCGTGGGCCTCCGTGTTTCCATCTACACACGAGAGGAAACCATAGCGCCCCCACTCACCGGTTACCTCGAGGATTAAGCGAGGTAACACTTGCCCAGTTCCTGAGCAGGGCCGGGCTCGCCACAGGTGCTCAGCAAACGATGGTGTTCGTTTATGTATTTGAGGGGCAAGTCGGGGCAAGAGCGCAGGGCTTTTCCTGTTAACCGGGCAGCGAGTACTTGCGAAGTAATATCCCGCCCTGGGCCGGGCCTGCAGGGATCTCTTCTCAGGGCTTCGGGGAAAGAGCGCTGGGCACATGCCTAGGGAGAAGAGCTCTCTGTGCCGCCGGCTCACCCCGGGACCCCAGGTCTTTGCTGCCCGAGCAGCTCCTCGTGGGATGCTTAAGGGGGTGCGGCCGACCAGCTTCTACTTTCCCTCCTATCGGCACCATTCTGTGAGTCCAGCAGACTCTGGGGAGCAACTAACTGCTCCAGGAAAGCCGGCTGCAGAGACTCCCCGGGCTCCATCACCCTCAATTTACAGGACACCGAGACAAGGAGGGAACTGGGGCACGGGATGAACTGATTTGCCTGAGGACGCGCTGCTCTCAAGAGACAGGGCTGGATTTTTACCCCGGTGATCCGCTTCGTGCCAGAGCACAGCGCGATTCTAACGGGGCTATCCCCACTTTGCGGAAGGAGGCACTGAGGCTCAGAGAGGCCAAATGACTAGCCTCCATAGCTTCTAAGTGGCAGCGCCTAAAACTTTTTTTAACCATATATTGAATTTATTATGTAAAAAGCTCATGCAAAACACCGAATGTCAAGAGATAAGAAGAATAAAACATCACGACGAGTCTAGAGAAAGAGAGACGAGAGTGAAAAATGAAAGAGTAAGAACTCGTAACTCATAGAAGTGGGAAAACCCTCCAAACGCATTCCAACTTACTAGTAATCAAACAACAGATTTAAACCAATCAGATACCATTTCTGATCCATAAATTAAACAATTTAAATGATCGCATCAGTGCTGGTGAAATTGTACGCCATTCTCGGTTGGAAAGCAGTTTGGCAATAGGCACCAAAAGCTTTAAGAATATTAATTCTTTTTAATGTAAGGTCCCTTTAAAAATACTGACCTTGGGGTCCAAATATCTGGATTTAAATCCTGGCTTCTCCACTTACCAACTGTGTAAACTGAGGTGACTTAAATTAACATGCCTCATGCCTCAGTTTCTTCCTTTCTAAGATGAGAATAATTCTGATAGTATCTACTTTACTGGATTATGAGGATGAAATGAATCAATACTTGCGAAGTTTTGGGAATAGTGCCTGGCACCATGTGCTGTGTAAGTTTGCTAAATGTGAATAGATTCAACTATTTTAACAACTTACTCCAAGAAATTGCCAGTTGAGAAAAAGCTTTATATACAAAATTATAAATTCTCACTATGTATAATAGCAAAAAAAAAAGCTATAATAGAGGAATGGTTATATCATTGAAAATTAAAGAAATATGCATTCATTAAAATTATGTTCATGCCTAAATTTAAACCCAGGTCTGTTTGGTTTTAACCCTGCCCCTCCATACGGCACACGAAGCTACCTACTAGCTTTGAGGGCCCAGCTCTGTGGTCCCAATCCCTCCTCACCCCACCCCCACCCCCAGTTAGCTTGACAGTGTGCAGGTGTGGCCAGATTTTCTTCTAACAGCCGCAAGTTGCTTAGAAAGCTTCCAAAACAGGGGCGCCTGGGTGGCTCAGTTGGTTAAGCATCCGACTTCAGCTCAGGTCATGAGCTCATGTTCGTGAGTTCGAGCCCTGCGTCCGGCTCTGTGCTGACAGCTCAGAACCTGGAGCCTGCTTCGGATTCTGGGTCTCCCTCTCTCTCTGCCCCTCCCCCCACCTCTCAAAAATAAACAAACATAAAAAAGAAAGCTTCCAGAACAGAGAGGACATCAAAGTACCCTGGGGATTGGGTTCAGTGTGTTGTGAATGAAGGAAGAAATGCACAGCTCAGAGCAGTAGCTGAAGCTATGGGAAGAGTGAAAACTTGTTTGCATGAGCTTACCAGGAGCCTGAGAGAGCAAAGTCCTTCTGGAAAGGGACCTATGCCGGGGACAGTGGCCGGTCACCCTTGATGTGGCCACATTGCATATCTCGGTGGACCTACAATGTTCCAGGCTGCCCGTGCTATCTTTGCACCTGCTCTTTGCCTGGAGCGTCCCCTCCCATTTCCTGCCCCAGAAGCTTCTGTTGATTCCTCCATCCAGCTCTAGTCCTTAGTTACCCTGGGGCCCACAGCGCATACTGGGGATCTGCTATGGCGCTTCTCATAGTTTTGCAGTTTCTCTTTGCATGGCCGACTTCCCCACTCGAGCATGATTTTTTGATCACAGGGGCTGTGTGATTCAACAAACACACTGAGTAAAGCCAGCCTCCCACTCTGTCATTCGTAGCCTGTACTCAGGGTTTAGGAGGAGATTATAGAACAATTTACTATTAAGTTAAAATACAGGGAAAGGAAAGGATAAGCTCAGGTTCATAGATGCTTCATTTCTCTAAGTTTCGACTTAAAACTCCTCTCTGGAAACTTCTGCCTTCCTCATTTATCCTTGCACCCAGTATTTGCTATATAGATAGTTTTTTTAATGTGATTTTTCTCCAAGGGGATACGATGAATAGGTTCTGCCTCATGTGTAACTTGGTTCTGTCCCTTACTGTGTTATATATATATTTTTAAATGTTTGTTTTTATTTTTTGAGAGAGAGTGAGAGGGACAGAGTGCGAGTGGGGGAGGAACAGAGAGAGAGGGAGACCCAGAATCTGAAGCAGGTTCCCGGCTCTGAGCTGTCAGCACAGAGCCCGACGTGGGGCTCGAACTCACCGACTGTGAGATCATGACCTGAGCCAAAGTCGGATGCTTGACTGACTCAGTCAACCAGGCATCCCTACTATGTTATATTTTGATTTGTGTTTATGACCATTTCTTTCTCTCATCTATGAGCCCCTCAGTTTCTGGGTCTATTTCTTTTTCTTTTAAGTTTATTTATTTATTTTGAGAGAGAGGGAGAAGGACAGAGAGAGAGTCCCAAGCAGGCTGCGAGCTGTCAGCATGGAGCCTGATGTGGGGTTTGATATGGGACTCAAACTCACGAACCACAAGACCATGACCTGAGCCAAAGTCGGACACTTAACCAACTGAGCCGCCCAGGCGCCCCTCTGGGTCTGTTTCTGATTCATCTCTCAATTCCTGTGGATCAGCCTAAAAGATAATTACTAGAGACTCAACTCGTGTTGTTGATTTGAAAAGCTGGTAGAAAAAAGTTCTAGCCGTGGTCTGATCCTGTAAGAAAGCATGGCGGCAATGCCTCCATGTTGCTTGCTAACACCCTCGGGTCTATGGACCTTGCTCACCTCCCTCTCTGGGTGGAGGAAACATCCACACCGATTGAGGGATTCAAGACAAGAACACAATGAAAAGAGGCTGCAAACCAACCTGCACGGGGTTCAGAGCCAGTGGGTGATGGAGATTTGAAAAGCTGAAGGGTCATGAGCGGACTCCGAAAGTGACATTAAAGACCTGAGAGATTGGCCCCGGGCCACCGGAGCAGAAGTATTCAGCCACGTTTGTTTGGTTCTGGATTTACAACCAATAAGAAACTCCAGAAGAAAGGGTAGAACGTCTGTACCCTCAAGGGTGGGAAACTGCCCACGCCCAGAACTTCTAATATGAAACCGTGTCTGCCTTCTAAATTTCTTTTTACAGTCTTCACGTTTGGCCAGCAAATGAGTGTCAGGGATTTAGAAAGATCTGGAATGTAGATGGGCATGCCCTCTGACTATTCTCTTCTGGCAGATCTCACCAGGCTGAGGCCCCCGGGGACTCCAGGACCCCACGAAGCCCTGTGAGATCATTGCACCAGGTGTGACGGAGCTCAGCTCAGCTCGACTCGACTCAACTCGGCTGTACTCGTGGTCCTGGGGACCCAGAAATGAATGAGGTTCCATGCTGGCTCGCAAGGAAGTGATGGTCTAGTAGAAGACTCACTGGAGAGTCGATTCCTTGACGTACCCCTGTCACCTCTCTCTGCCCGGTCACCTGGTGGCCGGCAGAGCATCCACACGGCATAAGCAGCCTCTAAATACTGACTCTGGAAGGTGGCAACTGGCCCAGGTTACCTCATGGCCTCCATCCTGGGGTCTCTCTTCTGGCTCATGCAGAGGCATTGCTGGAAAAAACGGCACAGCTCCATCAGGCAAGGGTTGAGCTTCCGGATGGCCAGGGGGAGGGGAGCGGCTGTGACGGTCCCCTCTTCGACCAGCAGCTGAGGACACCCTGGAAGATGCAACCCCAGACTGCTGAAATCAACAAGGTTTGAGCAAAAGCATCTTCTCCCTGTGCTTTAGTAAGTAGAGTCTCCCCGGATCTCAGGTGGCTCTGAGAGGGACAGGTGAGACAGTCTTGCTTCCTCAGTGCCCGGAAGAGCCGCCGTGAGAATGCACGAGACAGGTGGGGAAGGTTTCACTGACAGCAAATATTTTTTTTTTTTTTT